TTTAAGTAAGTAGGAGCATGTTCCCTAACTTTTAGAAGGGTTTTGTTCCACGTTGGTAAAATATCGATAATAGTTCCCAATTCATAGGGTTGTTACAAAGTTTAAAGAAGTTAACATATGTTCGAATAATGCTTGGTACACAGTATCACACTTTATAAGGATAGTCCTTAGCACAGCAAGTGCTAAGTATATACACTTATGCTCGTAACAACACTATTCACAATGGCTAAGAGATGGAAGCAAGGAACCCAGGTGTCCACTGAGCAGTAAATGGATAAAGTGTGGTCTATGTATGCAATGGAGTATTATTTAACCTTAAAAAGGAAGGAAATCCTGTCACATGCTACAACACGGATGAACCTTGAGGACGTCATGCTAGGGGAAATAATCCAGTCACAAATAGACAAATATTGTATGATTTCACTTATATGAGTATTTAGAGTATTTAAGTTCAGAGAGAAAGAGGGTCACATGGTAGCTGCCAGGGACTGGGGAGAGGGGGAATGGGAAGTTAATGTTTAACTGGTACAAAGTTTCAGTTTGGGAAGAGGAGAAAGTTCTGGAAATGATGGATATACGAAACAGTACTGAACCATATACTTTAAAATGGGTAAGGTGGTAAATGTTATGCTATGTGTATTTTACCATAATTTTTTTAAGTGCTAAATGTAAAGGTTAATGCAAATTCAGATAACAGTAGAGACAGTAGCCCCTATACAGTAGCAAAGGTTGTGGGGACATGAGAAGCTGTACATTTCCATGAGTTTCCATTCACACCATAGTCTACGTAATTGGTGCGCCAGAGGTGCTGGGCCCACAGCCTGCCTGGGTACTCATGGCCACCCCACATGTAATTTTCATTCAAGACTATTCTTCCTTCCCACACCTCCCTGATGTGTTAGTCAAGATTCTTGCTTCAACTAACAGAAACTGGGAGGAGAAGAGTTTGTTTAAAGAATTTAATACGGGCTTGAGAACTAGTGTCAAGGCCAAACTTCTAGGAAAAGACCCCCAAATCATGCTGCCAGTTGGGGCTGATGAGAAAACCATGCCACTGATGCCACGAAGCCCTAAATGCTGCCACTTACGCATAAGTAGCAATAACTGCTCTGCCATCAACACCCAGAACGCTTGTGTGTGCAGACAGACTGTACCCCTCTAAGAACACATGCCTCTGCTACCACTTTCACCAGCAAGGGTAAGTTCTGTGTGGGACCTCCTGGTTCAAATTTCTAACTTGTGTATTGAAATCTCACGCAGTGAACCCGACTGATGGATATACATCCCCTGCCTGCGCCCTAGGCTGGCAAAGTGAGTGTTCTGGTTTCTCTCGTGGGGTACTGGGGTTCATAACGCTGGGAACTTTACAGAGCAGCAAAGATGAAAAATACAAGGCAGCCAGGATCTTAACAGATGCCCACTACGGTCCACCCCCTAGACTTCCAACATCAGCATATGCTCTTCTTCCACACTTACACTTCACAGCCACAGCAGCAACTAGAAAGAAAAGCTCCCACCATTGTCTTGGATAGAAAAACTTGACATTATCCGAATATCAATGATCCCTAAACAAATCTTTAAGCTTAAGGAAATAGGAACTAAGGGATTCGATGCTGGGTGGGTTCAGTTTGAAATGCTAAAGGGCAAGTCAGATCTATAATTCAAGAGATGATCTGGTTTGGGCAAACGTGTTGAGGAGTCATCTGTGCATTAGGTTTAGCGTTGGATGAGATCATCAAGGGTGAAACTGTGGGCAACCCGTAAGAGAGGCGGTAAGAGAACAGGAGCCAATGACACATGCCAAGGGGAAGGTCAGGAGAAGAGCGAGGAGCAGAGCGATGCCCATGGACAGCGTTTCCAGAGTGGCCACGAGCATCACAGGCACAGAAGGGAGCAGAGGCTGAGAAAGAAGAGTCTGCAGGCCCTGGTGACATGCAGAACACAATGTCAACCACACGCTGGGAGCGGAGGCCAGAATTCAGTGGACTGAGTTGTGCACAAGTGGGAGGTGCAGAAGGGGAGACAGCAGCCCACACACCCCTGCCATGAGGCTTGTCTGTAAAGGGCAGGGGCGGGATGTGGCCGATGCCCTATGGAACAGGGTGGCTGATGTTCAGCTCCCACATGAGCACACTCTGGGGAGATCAAGCTCTCCGGGGTTCAGTCTGAACATTCATCATCTATGGGCCTGGTTCATACATAAGCTTGGTTTTCCATTTATTTTTCTGCAAAGGCCCCATTGAGTTTATCCAGGCATCAAGTTTCTAAAGGCCGTTTCTGTTCACAATAGTTCTGCAAATGGGTACTTAAATAAGAGACGTGGTTTTGGCAATGATTTGGGGGCTCTTAAAAATAAATTTGCAGCAGTAACTCTAGATGTGTTTGTTTTGTTTTTCGAAGGTTCGTTGCAAGTCGTTTCTTTTGATTCTAAGAAAACGTTTACCCCTGGCAGAGAAGAACTTTTTTTCTCACATATTTGTGTGTTCAATTTTATAGTTTCTCCAATTCACTCTTACTAAATACTTGATAGGATATGTGCACTTTTATTTTCTATTAAAAACCTGAGAAGTGCATATGAGCTGCATTATTAATATACCAAGTACGTGTTACATATTTAATTATACCAGCAAAACCAGCAACAGCATGCTGCAACCAGCTGTGAACCCTCATTTGGCCAAGTCCTCCAGCTACTGGAGCGCTCAGGGACAGCTGTGAGAAACTGCACAGAAAGAGAGTTCTCTTACTCAAAAGTTCTTCACTCTTACTCAAGATTTCTCTTACTTAAAAAGTCTTGCAATGTTAAAACTTTTGCCAACATATAAAACAGAGATTACAGGCTTCCAGAAAGATAGCAAAGTGGATGACAATGCCAAGAACCTCCTCCTCACTGAATGCTTTTACGTAGGGAACAACAACAATATTTAGCAACAACAGTGGCGGTAATGAACATTAAATCTGACCTGACAGTGCAGAGCGGGCCTGTTCGAAGGCACAGTGCAAGGATCACAGGGAACAGGCTCCAGATCACAGAGGGCAGAGCCCGTCTCTGAGTGCCGGGTTTCCCCAGTTCCTCCCTAGAGAGGTGATGGAGCATACAGGACAAGGCACTTAATCGCTAAGCCTCAGCCTCCTGGTCTGTGATTTATGGGTAATCAGACCTACTTCATAGGTTTCTTAGGAGGACTAAGACAGCAATGCCCGTAAAGACTTACTCCAAGACCTTGTGCCAATAATGGCATTATTATTATTCATTTATTCTTATTACTTAGTTACATGCACTGAAGTTGTTCACAGAGGGCTGAGCTCCAGCTAGCTTCTGCATCAGTTCTGACAATGTCTGGACTCCTGTCCTTTGACCTTGCCACCCTCCAATCCAATGTGTCGAAAATGAGTTCTAGGTTCCCATGAGTCTCCTGGTATGCAGATTTCTCTTCTATAAAAGAATGATGCCATCATGCCATTAGTTTTCTGAGCCCCTCTAGTTCCCCTGATTATACTAAAGCCCTTCTCTGATCCATAAGTGTATTAGAATTTTCCAGAGAAACACAACCAGTAGGATGTACATAGAGATAGATGCAAAGAGAATATATAAAGGAATTGGCTCCCAGAATTATGGAAACTGCCAAGTCCCAAGATCTACAGAGTGGGTTGTTGGCAAGCAGGAAAGCTGATGATTTAGTTCCCATCTGTGTCCGAAGGCCTGAGAAGCAGGCAAGGCAATGACGTAGTTCCAACTGGAAGGCTGACCAGGGTGAGAGCCAGGAAGAGCTAACATTTCAGTTTGAGTCTCAAGGCAGAAAAAGGGCTAATGGCCCAATTCGAAGGTCGTTAGGCAGGAAGGATTCTCCCTTACTTGGGAAGGTCAGCCCTTTTGTTCTACTCAGGCCTTCAGCTGCTTGGTTGAGGCCCACCCACATTAGGAAGAGCAATATGCTCTTCTCTACCAATTGAAATATTAATCTCATTCAGAAGAATCCTCACAGACACACCCAGAATAATGTTTGGCCAAACACCTGGGCATCGTCTGGACCAATCAAGTTGACACAAAATTTATCACCACAATAAGCATATAGTCCCAAGGTTCAGGCCTAGGCTAATCAGTAAAATTCCACTGGTCTAGTGTAAACATATGACCAACCACTAGTGAACCAGACCAGAGAAGTCATATGTGTGGACTTCTGGGAAAGGACACCCTTTCTCTTTCTTTTAATGGGATACCTAGAATGGCAGCTAGCTGTTCACTATCCTGAGAGAAGCCAGTGTAAGGAAGAGAGAACAGGCCAGCAGAATCCCAAGGAATGCTACAGGCCTGATCAAGCCATAAATGATGTCTGATCACCTTGAGACATTGCAGTTACCTAAGCAGAATCCATCACCTTACTGTGTAACCCAGTATGGTGGGCTCTCTGTAGCACGGAACATGAAGCCTCACTGGTCTACCTATTCCAGCACTAGGACACTCTTGTCGGCCATCTGCCTTCTGCTCCTGAGCCCTGTTGCCTGTACAAGCAGTCAGTATACTGGACACTGAGCTGAATGATGTACTGGAGCTGTGACAGGGTCCCTCAGACATCACTCTGCCTACTCTCACTCTAAGCCAATGAGCTGCTTGCCAGACGACCAGCCCCTCACACCCCACATCTCAAGCAGATAGCAATGCTGTCCCAGAGTGAACCCACACATGGAACTTTCCTTTGGCCACTGTTGGAGTCAGTCTCTCAATCCTGCCCATTCCCAGCATTCTCCCTCTCCCTACAGCCACAGTGCCATTTGGTCAGGGACTGTGACCAAAGGTTAGAATTATTGAATTGGTAGTATTACAGGAATACCAAGGTAAATGATTAAGTAGGGAATAGTTGTTGTTGGCCGGTGTAATTGTGAAAGAAAAGTAGTATTAGGTTAAATTAGTAGCTTTTTCTATTCCAAAGTTCTTTCCCTGAGGACAGAAATGAGATGGCTGGTGAAAGGGCAAAGCAGGTGAGTTGCCTTCCCACTGCTAATTTCGAAAGAACTATTAACCTTGACTTCCCATAACAATGAACGTTTAATTTCATATTTATTACAGATCTGTCATTGTTGGTTATATTTATATAACCTTCCTCGATCTGTTTATATTTTGGACCTATACAAAAATTCAGGCTTAATACTGGGTATTTCTTTACATCTTGTTTTTTATTGAACCACCTCCTTCTGATGCTCTAACATCTAATTAGTAAATCCTTATTCAACCTAAACATAATTCTTCTGAATTACAGACAGTATTTACAGCTCAAGAATAACAAACATGAGACAAGAGTCAGGATCAAGGGTTGGTAGATGTTCACTGCCTAGATTCTGGTGTTTACCCATGAAAGTCGTAACTGAGTTAAATTCTGACCAAGGTCGAGAAAGGTGTAAGTACTTAGGGATTTGGTCTGCGCAGGGTGGAGTGCCTGGGTTGGGGAGTCTGTACAACTTGGCTGGGGGTGGGACAGACAGAAGAACAACCAATTTCATCTGCTTCCAATTTAGCCCTGAATCTCTGTCTTCAGGACGGCATGAGAGAAATCCACTGGGTGCTGGGTTTGTGATGTTAGCAGAGGCTGCTTTAGCTAGGATTTTGCAAATGGCAACCCCCGCCCCTTCCCACGTTGCAGTTCCGTGACTGTGGGCCAGGGCTAGCCTGTTTCTGGGTCTGCCTGCTGCCGAGGGTCAGAGCTTGTCGGAGTTTGAAGGTTGACAGTGCAGGCGCCATTTCTCAGCGAATCTTGGAGAAGTGGCTTCCCTGGGGCTGCTCACTGGCTGCAAGCTGCGGTGTGCTGGCAGTTGAGTCCTGTTTGAAATAGTGAGGAGGGGAACAGAGGAGGTAAGATGTTACAATGGACCCTTCCTGGCCGATGGAAAGAGAGGCCCAGGCTGGTGATGCTGACAGGGGCTGCTGTGGCCACAGCCAGGCACCTGCTGTCACCCTCCATGCATGAGGCACTTCTGCTTTTGAGAAATATCTCTGCTTCAGTGGGCAGTTTAAAGGCAGCTTTGTCCTGAGGGCCCAAAGTGGCAGGTCTTTGGCCTCTGATTTAGTGGAAAGGATCCTGGGCTTGAAACCTGAAAACAAAAGCTCTGAGCTTGCTAACCCTTGGCTGCATGACTGGGCAAATAATTTAAATTCTGAATCTGTTTCCTTATCTGCAAAATGGCGGAAAGAATACTTTTTTCCTAGAACTTTGATATGGACCAGTGAAACAGAGCATGTGAAAAGTCCACATGTGACACACGTGGGTAGGAATGTGCCCTATTTAAGTCACCAACCTCTGGTGGGGACGGGAGAGGGGTAGACAGATCCAACCCATTCTGGTCATAAATTGACTACCTTAACTAGCCACTACCGGGGTCTATTTGTAAACTACAGGTAGATACAGGTATCATTTTAATAATACATAATAAATACTGATAATAGACTACACTTATTTCACACATACAATATACTCAGCATTATGCAAAAAAAAAGCTTCATGTGCACTATCTCATTTAATCCATAGAACAACCTCATGAAGACCAGTCAGTATACTCTCAAATTTACCTGTGGGAAAATTTAGGCTCAGACTGCTTCAAGTGGTCAAGGACCACCCAAGTTGTAAGTGGCAGAGCTGAGATTTTGAACCCAAGCAATCTGACTACAGAGCCCATACTTTGGAGCTTAGAATTATTATTTTGTTAAATGAGCTGAGAACAGTGGAAGTCACAGCACCGTGAAAAGAAAGAACTACGCATGCTTTACCTGACTATTAGCTTCATAATATACACGAAAAACCATAAATTCATAAATATACATGAAAAACCAAAACAACACCCTGTGTTTCTAGTGTTAATCCTATCCTTTTCATCACTAGAAATAGCTGATATTTTTAGCTGGGTGAGGCTTAGGGAATGGCTCTCTCCCCCCGTGGGAGGGTCTTGTGTACATGCTGTTTTGAATAGTCTGTTCAGTTCCCCGTGTCTGACTAAGACCTGCTCCAAGGCAAGACTCTGGTTCAGTCATAGGCGACATTATTTCCAGACCTCGGTACTGCTCTCTCGAGGCTGCAGCTGCACAGAACTGTGCCGTGCTGGAGCCCAGGAGGGCTCAGGACCCTCCAGTGCCCGCCCTGCCTCCCAGCGCCCGACCCGTGGGGAGTTAGAGATCCCCTCACACTAGGCAGGCAGGTCTCCGGTCCTGGGTTCCCGTCTGAAAAAGTTCTTTCCTTCAAATGGAGCCACGATCCACCGTCCGGAGGTTTTGCTGCATGCTTCTCTGCTGAGGTACTGTGAGCTTGAGAACTTAGCCCCCTATCTGGGCCAGGACGGCTCCTTCCCAGGGGAGAGTGCGGGGAAGGGGAGGAGCCCCGGAGGTTGGCCCGAGAAAGTGCTGAAAGGGTAAGGGAGCTCCGAGGGAGCAGGTGTAGGGACGCCGACGGCGAGCCCGGGGGGCAGTGGCCGGGGCAGTAACTCAGGAAGGCAGCAGAGGAGCAGCCGCTTTGTGACTGGGTGGCACGCAGCAGAGCAGGCTTCTCTTTGGTTTTGTTTGACAAAAGGTGAATAGAAGCCAGGGGAGCGCTGACCCCTCCTCCTGTCCCTCAGTGCTGAGGACGGGGGACAAGGGGACCCCCAGGTGAGCGGGCTTCAGGGAGGCGCATCCCCGGGTGACCGCCGGGGCTTGGCCCGGGCACGGAGGTGGGGGCGCATTTAGCAGTGATGCCGGGGGCTGTCTTCTCCTGCCACGAGAGTCCCCGAGGGTAGAGCAGAGGTGTTAGGGAGGGAGGCTGCTGGAGAGGACGCCCAGACTAGCCTGGGGTCAAGAAGAGAGGACAGTGATGGGCCAGCGGTGCGTACATCTCGGGCACAGATCCAGAATTACAACGATGCACTCGTTCATCCTGTGAATATTCATAGTGGTCCCGTGCCAGAGGGTGGTTTGGCAATGAGCGTACAGACGTGAATAACACCAAGTCCCGCCACGTGGAGCGCGCCACTTTGGGCCTAGGAACCCGGGAGGACGAGTCGGCAGGGCCAGGGAGGGACTGCCCTCCATAGGGGGGGCGTCAGGAAAGCCCTGTCTAGGGACGGCGTCTGTGCACAGAGCTGACGGGGCACCGCAATGGGGAGGCTTCCCGCAGAGGAGAAGGCAGCCCCCGTGGCGTGTGGAGGAAGGTTCCAGAACGGAGAGTCTGGAGCACAGTGAGAGGGGAGAGGTGGGGCAGGAGGGAACGAAGGGCCAGAGCAGGCACACCCTTGCGGTCCTGGCTGGTCTTTCAGCTTTACTCCGAGCGTATTGCCGGGCCAACCACACGCTGAGCACAGAGTGTGGTGACCTGACCTCCGGCTAGGTGGCGGCCGGAGGCGTGCTGTGCTTGGCTGGCCTAAGGCTGTCTACAGCACTGTCCCACCGGCACCCAGGAAGACAAGCGCTGCCCGGGCCTCTCAGGCCCTGGCTGGGTGCACAAGTGAGCTGGCAGGAGGCAGGAGTGGTCTTTGGCTTCCAAGACTCACAAAATGAGGGAAACAGGAGCGAGGTCTGGAGAAGGGACCGTTGTCTCTGGAAACGGGCAGCCTCATCTAAACAGACTCTCAGTACCAGGTGCTCTCCCCCGTGGGCCCAGCAAATGCCCGCCCCTCCGAAAGAGTCCCACCAACCTAATGGATTACACTGGCTGCAAAGAAAGGACGTCAGGTTCAGGGCAGTGGTGGGAAGTGATCTTCTCCCCTGCTGGACCCTGGGATCCTGCCTCCAGAGCACTGGGCGGGCCTGGCATGTTGATGTCAGTTTCATAACCACATCAGAACAGCATCAACAACTAGGGCGCAGTCAGCAGCAGCTTCCAGAGCCAAATCCATCCAACAAGCAAGGGTGATAAATTCTGATTCTTCCCTTCCTTAACCCCAAAGAAGGGCGATGAGGGATGGACAGCAACGGCGAATAGGAGTGTGCACACACCCTCTTGTCCAGTACAGGTACGGTAGGATTGTCCACTGGATCCCTAGGCACTGTTCCAGCCAGACACTCAAGCCTACTGTTTGTAAGAATGTGAAGAGTCAGAGCTGGAGACAAGCTCTGTCATCACTCCATCCAACACCCTCTCCTCTTTTGCACGTAAGAAGATGGTCTCCAGAAGTCGGGGTGATCTGGCCAAGGAGCACAGCCCCAGGGAGGGCAGAGCTGGTGGAGGGCAGAGCCCCTCTGCAGCTCAGTGTCTTGCATCTCCACGCCCCTGTCCTCACTGGAGGTCAGCCCATGAGAAGGAGAAATCCATGAAACCAAATGCCCCAAGACCCCGTCGTCCTGATTAACCCCTCCCCCCTGATTAACCCCTCCCTGGCCCCGCCCCTCAACCTTCCCCCAGGAGCTCATAATCTCCCCCAGGCCCAGGACATTTGGGGGAATGCCCCGTCAAAAGAGCTTTGGGCCCACAAGAAGGGGGCATGGGGCTAACAGTTCAACAGCTCTTCCTAGAACAGCATTGGCATGAAGATAGAGTATGTGCCAAGGGTCACAATACAGCAACCTGAGATGTAAGCAAGCCTGTTAGCATTTATATATGCAAATGAGTGTGCAGTCCTTCAAAATACTCCCACTGGTCGTCTGTGTCTGTCCAGTGATGTTTCCATTGTTCAGAACATCCCCAGGCCGCCCTTCAAGACAGAACAGCAGTGCAAAGCAGGCTTCTGAGTCAAAGGCACCTGAGTTACATCTTAGTTCTAAAACATAATAGCTAGCAGTGTGATTTTGGATGAGTTACTTAACCTCTCTGAACCTGTTTCTTCAGTTATAAAATGGATATGATTATACATACTTAACAAAACCAGGCAGTGGGATGTGGTGGGCACAGCAGGTCTAGGGACACAGAAAGCACAGGAGGGGACCTGGTGCAGTGTGGCTCCATCTCACTTCTCTCCTCAGGTCTCTGGGCCCGGGGGCCTGGCGAGGGTCAGCCTGGGAGCCTTCTCTCCCACACCAACTGCAGTCCTGGCTTAGGGCTCTGCGTTCAGGGAAGAAGAAAGACAGTGGTGACAGTAGGCATGGAGATCCCGGAAGGCGACTCCTGTCGGTCCCTGGGACTCTAAGTCTCTAGTGACATGACCACTGCAGGTTGGGGCTGAGTCGAGGGGGGCGCACAGAGGGAACTGGGAGAACAAAGGGGACTTATGTCCCAAGGAGGCCCACTGCCCATCCTGGCCAGACCTTAACGCCTGTGGTCTGCAGACCCCCGTGCAGGATGCCCTGCAGCCACTGGGCCTGCTGTGGAGGCCACAGACCTCCGAGAGCCCTGGCTTCACCGAGAGCCTCTCCATCTGACAGCATCGGAAAACGGCCTCATGGGACATGCAGTGGGGGACAGGACGGCGCCAGTGCCGAGGAGCAGGCTGGCTTACGAGCTCCGCTCCCTGTCCCCAGGCCGTGGCAGACAGGGACGGCCGCTCTCCTTCTATCTCAGCACAACCTGAGGAGTGACTTGGACCTGTGAACAGGTCAGCTTGGGTTTCTGAGCCAGAAACACACAGCAACTTGCTTATTCTCTTCGTGACTCCGGCCCCGAAACAAAGCCAACGAAACACTCGAAAACAGGTGACAGTCTCTGAAGACGAGCTCAGAAGATGAGGGACTCTCCGTCCCGTTCCCTCAAGATGAAAGGCCCACACACATCTCCCCCTGCGTGCAGGGCCCTGGGTGGACCACTGATGCCCTGGCCACACCCCCCTGCTCTGAGCTGGAAGGCAGCAGGAAGACAGCTCCCAGGCCGTGAGAGCAACAGTTAGGCCAGAGCAACAGGCACCGGGGCGCATGGAGGAGGCGTTAGTGTGACAGACACCTGGGGTGGAGAAAGAAGGTGACTCTAAGGCTGTTGGTTCTGTCACTGCTTTACAAGCCAGGGGCAGGTCCACTTGGTTAACCAGATGTGCCAGCTCTGCCCGCCTGCCCCTCTCTAAAACGTCCAGAGCATCTCTAAAGGGCCCCAAAGTGCTCTCAGCTGGGGGTACCACAGACATGGCCATGAAGCTTTTTGGGCATTTTCTTCTGTTTCTTCATCACTTCTGGTTTAACTTTCCCTATTTATTCATTTGGCAAAAAGTGACTAATTTCCTCTATTTGACAGTTTCAACAACCATGAAATGCCAAGGAGCTCGCCCTGTGCCCATCTTCCTATGGCAAAGACGAGCTACTGGGTCTCAGAGGGCTCCTCACAGAGCACGTGCTGGCTGCCCACACCAGCAAAACCCCGTGTAGCAAACTCCCTAAAGTGTTCAAGCCGCTGACACAAACATGTGCTCTTGCTCTATCTCCTCTCATCCCAGACACCCAGAACCACTGTGCATAGTAAGGAATGACACTGCCAAGGTCATTTAGCTAGTATATCAGAATGGCTTTATTCTGAATCTGAGGGAATGGATACACTAAATTCCACAGCCACCTGAAACGAATTTCCAGAGCCTACATGGCCTTGTACCAACACATCCAAGAATACTGAGAGTTGGAAAGTGATTCTGAGATTATTGACTCCACCCTTTTTTGTGACTTGACAAAAGAGAAAACTGAGACCTGGGTGGGAGGGTGACCCGTGCAGGCCAGCGGCGCCTGTGGGCTGGTGTGGGGGCGCTGGGTCTCCAGTGCTCTTCTACCCACCCCCACCGCCTCCCACAGCCCAGCACTGCACCTGGGACACAGCTCCTGCAGTGCTGCCCAGCCCCCGCACTGCAGAGGGGTGGTGGGGTGCACTGTCCTAGGGCCTCTGCCTGCATTAACGCATTTATTCCTCCCTCCGAGGAGGTAGGTGCTGCTACTTCCGAGGCACACGGAAGTTCAGATGTTTGCCTAAGATAACACGGAGAGAAAAGGAATCAGGATCTGGACCCAAGCCTTTGGACCGAGCCAGTGCTTTTAAACCCTATGCTGTACCAGCGATGAAGGGAAGGATACAGAACAATCTACATAACCCTGTCAGGGGAGGAGAGGGCTGGGGGAACAGTTAAGAACAACCACAGAATGGAAGCTGAGTAACACACGAATGCACACTATTAGCAGAAACAGCTATGCTTTATACTACATACACACATAAGCTACAGTCCAACATCCCGTCAGACTGCTGGACACGCTAGCTTTCTTGATCCGAACCTCAAGGACCATGTAAGACAGGACAGGGCACAATGTTTGCTTTGTTGGTATTGACAATTATATCAACTGGCATAAAGCATTTAAATAATAAATATAAAATTGTAGTCATAATAACTACCATCTGAAAGGCAGCTGGCTAAGTCTACTTTTTTAAAAATGCCAGAGGACATACTTCCGCAAGAAGTTAGGGCCACTATTGCACGATTTGTCAGTGTTACGGTTCTTGCGCCATCGAGCGATTCCCCTTAACACCAAACTGGCAAGGTCTCCCGGGTGCGCTGTTTGTTATTTCTAATGGCTCCCCGTTGACACCTCCAGTAGTAGCTTGGCTGTTATTCCTTGGAACTCTCCTATAAAAACCCACTCAGATGGAGCTAATTTTGCCAAACAGTTGCTTATCCAAGATTATTGCAGTTCCCCTTCAATCTCCCCTGAAGGATTTTCCCTCCTTTCCCGGCTAAGGGAACCAGGGCCCTGGGAGCCACACCAGGGCTGCTGTGGGGTGTGACGGGGACTGTGAGGTGTGATGGGGACCGCGGGGTGTGACGGGGACCGTGGGCTTTCCCACACCGCAAGTAGCCTGGGAGGGGTCTGTCATGCTGTCCTTGAAGTGATTACTCTCTGGGCTCTTCACACCCTCCTTCGCATCTCCCCTCCCCCTCCGCACGGCTGCCCCCACACAGGGTGCCTATTATGCGGAGTGACCCCACTCCGGTCCAGCTGTGCAGGAGCCGCTGGCTGGTGGCAGAGCCGGACCGAAAGGGGAAGCCTGTGACTGTTACTCATTGTTAAGGATGTCTACATTTTAAGCATATAAACAATCCACAATAACTCTTCTATTGTTGATTCATTTATGTCGTGAAAATCCTATACATTCCTATTTCACGGCACACGCAACAATCCACTCCTGAAAGCATTACCGCTCCCAGCCAGGTTTCAAACGGGGACTGGCCGGTGTCTCTTAAAATTCTCGGTGACCGAGTCACCAGGCCCCAAACATTACAAACGAGAGCCCCAAACACTGCCTTCCTCTCACGGTCAGAGCTCGAGACGACCAAGCCAGCGGGAACGGCGGCAGCAGGCAGGACCCGCGGACCTCAAACACCAGCGGGCAGGCGCGTGCTCCCGGGACACCTAGTGGCTCTAGTGAGAGGCAGCATCCTCAACCTGCCGCCCACCGCAGGACAGCCCTGCAAGGGTGCTCTCTCTCAAGCTGGTTCACCCTCCTCCTTTCCAGGTGAGAAATTGGAGGCCCAGGACTAGAGTGGCTCACCCAGTTTCACATCCCTAATGGGTGGTGTTAGTACTTAATTCCCACAGGTCATTTCTACCTGAATCATTTACACGCAGAATTCTAGACAAATCACCCATGCAATGGGGAGTGGTTGAATTTCACTGGCTTATGGTTCACTAGGTATTTGCATCTAAATGCAATGATTTTCCAAATTCTATTATTCATCCTTTATTAATCATTGCACTGCTTTATAAAAGAAAAAATTTAAACTCACATCCCAGTCTAACAGAAAAACAGGTCAAAACACAGGAAACTGATCAGGCAGTGCTGCAGCTCTCAAACTATGCAATCTTAATTCACACAGGACCTTTTCTGCATGTCATGGTAATAAAATGCAAGCAGACAAAATCATCTTGCTTCTCAAACACTGGATGTTTTATATCTAAAATAAAAATATCATGGAGGTAAATGCGCTTGTACTGGAGGCACGGATCGTTCCCATAAACTTAAAACAGGATGCTAAATGAGACTTGCTATTTTTTTAGCCTAAAGAGCAGCAGGAGAGAGAAAATTCAAAAGAATGAAGAATCAGAGCTGTTACACAAGGTAGAGGAGGGGGAAAAAAATCAGAAGCCAAGCTTCTTAGGCCCAAAATATCCCTGCGGGAAGCTCAATGGAACAATTTTCCATGGAAAACAGGAGACGGGTCTTAGAAAAAATCAGCCGGGCAGGGCTATGAGCAAGACAAGACATCTATGGAGAAGGAGGGAAGGGCTGACGGGCAGGCGCTGCGGTGCTGGCTGCCCCCACCACAGGAAGGCTGTGGGGTCCAAGGCCAAGGCCTTGAATATTCATATTCTTCTTATAAAATGTGCCTTTTTATAGACAAATTTAGTCCCATTCTACTGTGTCCAAAGGGTTGCTTAAAGCAAGATCCTTTTACACTTTCTATCTGTCCTTGTCCTCAAACCAGCATACGCGGAAACTGGTCCTCATTTGGAAATAGGGGAGTCAGGCAGAGATGCTCTGGGGGAGATTCTCAGCCATCTGCGTGGAACATTTATTTCTCATATAATCAGTTAGAAATAAAAGTAAAACCCAAACAACAACATCCATCTCTCTTTCTCTCTGTTCTGCGGACCTGAACAGAAGTGCGGCTCCATTCTGAATTTAAATATGAGATCGATTCTTAATGACAACCAAGAAACAAAAGCTTTAGGATCTGACTGTGCCCCAGACGGAGGAGCCTTTAGAACTGTGCTTGGCCCACCTACTCTTCCGTCTGGAATTGCATTAAGCACCGAGCCCTGAGCTGCTTGGAATGCCCAGTACAGGAGTCCGTGCGAAAAGCCACCCGCTGCCTGCGGGCGAACTGACTCCCCAACAAGTAGGATGGTTTGAATTCACAGCTGAGAACCTGGGCCTCTAAGGAAGGGTGCCCCAGGGAGCCCAGGCAGGAAGCCGCCCGGCAAGAGGGGCAGGCAGTGGCTCCCGGGGCACCAGGGTGTGGCTGCTGAGCACACTGGCGACCAGGTCGGGTGGCTGCCCCGGGGAGCTGCCCCGTGCCCTCCCCGTGGTCCCGGTCACCCACCTATCAGCATGACCCCCACGATGTTGATAGCACTGCCTTCCACCATCCCTATCCACCACTCCCCCCGACACTGCCCACTCATCCTGAGACTCATCTCCTCCATGGGGCCTTCCTGACCTCCGCTTGCCCTGACCCACCCCAACAGGGGCCATTCTCCTCCCCACCCCGGGCTCCACTGTGCTCGACACGTGGGCATGCAGTGTTTATTCCCCCCACCCTTCTTCCCAAGATCCTCTGCGGGTAACTCCCCCCACCTTCTGGGTTGCCGCGTGAGTGTGCCCCAAGATCCCCACCCGCACCCCCCCGGAAGCCCATGCCCGGTCTTCCAGGAGCCCTAGGGCAGGAGGCCCCTGGCGGGTGGACTTGAGGCAAGAACCTGTCAGTTGCACCTGGTGAAGCTGAGGTGCTTCGAATGCACAAGTAAGTGACCAGGGTGTGGCTGCTGTGGGACAGGTGGGCAAGGGGACCCATCCCCGGCTCCCCTCCCCTTTCCTGGCTGTTGCCTAACTCAGAGCAAGTGGTCCCTGCGTGAAGCCGCACAGTCTGGGCAGGCTCAGGTCCTGTAAAGCATAAGGTACCTCAACGATTCTGTATGGGGTTTTTTGTTTTTTGCTTTTGTTTCTACGTTCTCTCCTCCTGTAACCGTCATGTGTGCTTTCCTGGAGGACTGGTCGGGCAGGTACATTTGGCTCTGGGAAGCTGACCAAGCATGATCAGATTTCAGGGAACTAACGTGCAGGGAGATCCGAGTCTTCCATTACCAACTGAGATCTACTTCATGGCTGTTTCCTAATATGTACAAGTGACGTAACAATTCCTCACAACATTCATGGTTAATCTCAGTCGTATGTCTTCCGCAGATGGTTCAAAAAGAGTCTGCAAGCATTTGCAAACAGCAGTAACCAGACTTACCTCCTCCTGGCTTGTAAAGTCCCCTCAGCTGACTATGTTGGCTCCACAATCAGAGGGACTTTCAGTACTTCCCTCAGAATATTCACACATGTGCTGCAAAGGCCTCCATGATAAACAGAACTTCCTCTCTGCCTTTCCCAGTACTTCAATTTTGTGCCTTCCATACTCTGAACTTAGCCAAAAGCAGATACACCCAGGAAATCTATATGGCCTAAATTGCACTGCAGCAATATTCTATTTTTAAAACTCAATATGAACATTTACACTGTCTTAGTATTATGGCTGCTACTACAGTTATCTTACAGTGAAGGAAACTAGATAACCAGAGAAGTGATACATCTGTTTCCAGCCCCCTCATCTGGTGCAGAGTTAGAATTCAGACACTTCTGATCCATATACTGAACTTCAGTAACCAAAGACTTAATAGGCCCTGTGTCCCGTGTGTCTACTTCACTCATATCAGCTTCTATCGTAATTCCATCTCTTTTCCTAGGTCCTTTAAGTTTCTTTTGTTATTTTTTCCTTCCAATTTCTTAAAATGAATTCTAACCTATATTTTAGAAATCCCTTCTGTACTGAAGAAGGTATTTAAGGCTATTTCCTCTAAGTACAACTTTTCCTGGATCCCGTAGTCTTGGAATAAGGTTTATTGTCTGCTCGATAACTTGTAATCTCATCCTAGAATTCCTGTTTGCTCTACAAATAAAGTGTGGATATTTTTTCCAAAGAACCCCCTAATTTCTAAGTATTTAAGATTGGGTCTTTCTATAGTTACTTCATTTTATTGGATTTTGATCAGCTGCGGATGGCTCTGAAATATCTATTTTCTTGAACTATTTGAAATGTCCTTCATCATGAAGCACCAAATAGGATTTTCTAAATTTTATGAATTTTTAAAGGGCAAAAACATAAGGAAAAGCTGTATATTCTCTATTTGTAGGATGCTAACTTCCTATGCATCATTACATGAGATTATGGATGTGTGAAGATCCTATTTATCCTTGATTATTTAAAGTTTACAAGATCTGCTGAATTATGAAATAGGAATATTTAAATCATTTATTACATTTGTACTTTATCAAGTTTTGTTTATATTTCTAAATACCCTTTGTGGTATATGTTTAGGTCCATGTTTTGTGTATATAGGCATATTATTTTATCTGAACAATATAAGGTAAGGTTATCAGTGCAACAGATGCATTAGTCATCTGGGAAATGCAATGTAGCATAAGGAGCTATTACTGCACAGTTGTGTGGTGGGAATGCCACAAGGAAGGAGACACTGCCAAGCATTGATGAGGATGCAGAGAGACTCCCACACTGTGCTGGGGATAGAAATTGGTGCCACCGGCTGGAAAACTGACAGGGTTTACAGAAGCTGATCAATATGCACATCAAATCCACACTTACATCCCTACGTATACATCTAATAGCACCATGTATATACATTTACTGTATGACACGTACAGGAACGTTCATGGCACCTTTAGCCAGAATGTCCTCAAATTGGAAGCCCAAATTTCTGACAGAATTAATCAATACATTTTGGTATTGTATGATAGACTTCTATATAGCCACAAGGATAAAAAATCTATAGCTTTATTTATACACGTTATGGATGAATCTTGCAAATGTTACATTGAATGAAGGAAGCCAGACACAAAGAGTACACACTAGATAACTCCATTATTATAAAATTCCAGAATAGGCGACACAAACCTATGGCATCAGAAGTCTGGATAGTGAACTTGGCCCTTCCCAGGGTTGGGTAGTGACCAGTAGGGGCCAGGAGGAAAGTGCCTGGGGCTATTTCTTAATTTAAATGCTAGTATGTGTGTGTGTTCACTTTGTGCAGATCCCAGCAGCTGTCTGCACACTTAGGGCTTGGGCAGTTTTCTCTGTGTGTGAGATACTCCAGCCAACATTTTTGGTAAAAATTTATTATAAACAGAAAATACAATGGTCTATCTTTTTTGCAATGTAGAATTCAAATGTCAAGACAAAGCGTATCAGACACTGCAAATTTCTTCTCATAAATCACTGTTGAATTGTCAGCACTGCTCATTGAGGTGAGTCTATGATCCCATATAATCAGCAAAATGAGGCTCTAAATGGACTCAGTTTGTCAAGAGCACACGTGTGCTAAATGGCTGATCACTTGGACGTGGAGGCACGTGTCCTTAGTTCTGGGTAGTCATA